TGAGAACGGTGGTTCCTTCAAGTGCAGCAACCATATGTAAGTTGTTTACCTACTTGATTCGCCACATACATTGTAGTATTTGACTTAAAAAATGCAGCATCTCTTTTAAATAGACAGGGTTCTTTACATTCGCGATCTTTACGAAGGCGGTGTATGTTTTACGATCTCCAGAAGAAACCTGCAGGTGGCCGGCTTCTTCGCTGGTGAGGCACCATGTATTTCCCTGGAAAAGCAGGCTTTACATCTTCAGAGAGAGCCGGCTCGCTTGTTGTACCAAAGCGCTGCACGCCGCGCTGCTGGCGGGCGGGCGGGCGCGGCGGAGGGCAGCTCCGGGCCCCGCTGCGGCGGCAGCTCCGACCCTGCCCGACTCCTCCCGCCACCGCCGGGCTCTGCTCGGGCTCGGCCGGAGCCCCGACGGGGCGGCTCCGAACGGGCTTGGCCGGCCGCGGCCAGACGCGGAGCTTCGGCGGGGCTGGACGAGCAGGGCTCGGAAGTCCCGGCCGGCGTCGCCCACCGTCCTCCGCCGCTGCGGAGCTCCCGGGGCGGCAGCGGAGCTCCCGGGGCGGCAGCGGGGCCGCCTCCGCCGTGCGGATCTCCGCTGCCCCCGCGTGTCCCTGTCGCCGCCGCGGGGCGCCTCGCCTGCCCCCACCCCCGGCCTCCACCCTCGTCCTCGTTATTTCTCCATGTCCCGACAAAGCCCAGGAGCCCCGAACTCGGTTTGGGGAGGCCCTCGTGCACGGCCCGGCCGGCCCCTGGGAAGGGGTCACGGCAGGGATCCATGATGCCCCCTCACCCCAATGCTGAAGCTCTGAGGAAACAGCCCCCCCGGCCTGGAAAGCGCCGGCTCCTCCCTGCAAAGCCTTCCCGAGAAGAGCAGGGAACTGAGACGAGGAAAAGCATATTTATCGGATTGGCATTTTTTTCTCTCTTAACAGCGCTTCTTCCTAATGATATTTACTTAACTGCATTTGACAGCAGTTAAGAACACGTCTCCTGTAAACAGGATCTATTCTCCTTCTGCCTACAACTGCCTGTCAGCTGCAAAGCCAATCGCAGTAATAACCGCTGGATCATTTTAAATGTGGCTAAACCTACGTTGGACAAAATCAATCTGCCATTTGTTGGCTCGGAAGGAAATCACTTGCACAGTTTGACGAATTGCTTGCAATACCCTTCAGCAATTCTCAATCGCATCGCTATGCCCCTTCCTCGCAGACCTCCTCCTCTCTGCTCCGTGGGTTCGTTTTATTTTTTTTTTACCCTTTCGCTTGGACTTCAGGTAATCTGAAATGGCACTGACCCTTCTCATCCTTCCGATTACCTTTCTGAAGCATGAACGTGGTATAAAATCACACATCAGAAAATTCACTATAATTATTTTGCAATGCCATCAGCACAGATCCATCAAGGAGGAAACCCAGTAGTGGAATGCTCCTCGCAGCCACATGAGCGGCCAGTCCCGTCCCGCCTGAGTGACAGCTTTGGTAATTAAGTGATTGTAGAGACCTCCCCAACTGTTCTAACAACCTTGTCAGGGCCTGTCTGCGGACAGAACAAGCTGAAATCAATGTGCTTTCTGCTCCCTGAGCATTTCTGATCATGTCCTCAGCCTGCAACGGGGAAAAAAAAACATTTGACAAAAGAAAAACAGTAGCAATAAAAGTGAGATTAATATTTTGGAACACAAAGTTAACTTTCTTCGATCCTTTTTTTTTTTTTTTTTTTTTTTTTTTTTTTTTTTTTTTTTTTTTTTTTTTTTTTTTTTTTTAATCCTTGAAAGGCAGAAGGCAGCGGAGAGCCGCCGCCCGCCCGGCGTGTCTGGCTGGGACGAGCGAACTGTGGCCGCGCTCGCTCCGCGCCTGGCTCCGCGCTGCTCCGCTCCGTTTTGTTCCCGCTTGGAAACGTTCTGTAGCGTCTCTCACAACGGCCCCAGTTACTCCGAGGTACAATATATTTTCGCCTGGATTAGACGGCGAGTCTGTTGGCACAGTGTAAATGTCAAGCAGCAGCTTTTAATAAAGGGATGTTCAGACTGTTAAATTTCACAGTACAACGGGCTTGGCCCCTCCCGGCCCCCTTCAGCCCCCCCTTCTTCCGAGCTGCGGTGCTGCCAGTGAGCCAGCACGACTGCGCACCAAAATTCGAGTGGCAAGTAACCCATCCCGGGGCCGAAATGATGCGCCGTGCCATCCCCGAGCTGTTTGGCGGAGGGACCCCCAGAGCCCCGCAGCCCGCTCCTCGGGGCCCCCCTCGATGGGGTGCGGGCCTCCCGTGGGGGGCACGGTGGCAGTTCTGGACCCCGCTCCCAGAGCCTGGGGTCGGTCCGTGGTGCCTCGGCCGGGACCGCCCCCCAGGCAAGGACCGGCGTCGAACCTGCACATGATACCCCGTCCCTGCCGCTCGCTGCCCCAGCCTTCATCGGGCCATTGATTAGCGCTCTAAGTGCCGCTCTAATTAGCTGCCTGCTAATTAACGAGCGGGGCCCCGTCCGACTCCTCTGAGTGGCACCTTCGCTCATCGCTTTGATTCGGCTGTTGCTGATTTATTGGAGAGGGAGCTCCGTGGCTTTGCCCGCAGTCAGACGGGTGGGATAGATGGGAAAGGGGGGGTTCACCCAGCCAGGGGCTTAGGGGACACGGGGCGGCAGCTGTCATGATCCACCCCCGGCCTCAACAAGTACAACGGGCGTCCCGCTGGTCACCTCGCCCGCAGAGGGTGCCAGCAGGAGGTGAAAGGCCTTTTGCTTCAGATGCCCCCGCGTAGGACTGATCAGCGCCCCGGGAATCCGAACCAGCCGACGGCGGCCGCGGAGGAGCAGGCCAGGCTGAGGCTGCGGGAGCTCCGGGCTCAGCGGAGCCCGGCCGGGAGCAGAGCGGCTGCCCCGGCTGGGGCGGGACTCGCCGCCGCTTTCCCCTAAATATTTCTGCACAATGGAGTCGAGGATTAAAAAATAAGAGGAAGGAAATGAAAGGTGTTCATTCTTCAAGAACATGACTTTAAGCTCTAAATCCCGATTCCGGGACGGGGAGGTGTATTGTGAGTTAAAGGATTACACTAGTGTAACATATTATCCCGGATCCCGCATTCCCCCAGGGATAATTAGGACATAGTTTTGGTACATTGCAAACCAAGACAAGACAAACATGAGCGCCGCGGGCTGCTTCCCTGCTGCAGAAAACCTGCCAGTGCGCTTGCAGATATTTAAATATTTTTCACTTTCTCCTGTTCTTTCATTTTACTCCTCAGTTTCACCTCTTCTTCTGTCCCCTTTTTTTCTGCTTGCTCCTTCAAATGCCCCGATCTGTAGGAACGTGCTGATAAGAGGTCACCCCGCCGTGCTGCCAGCCCTGCCCGCACCGGGGCTGCGGCGGCCGCGCTGCCTCCGGCCCGGTCCGCGCCCGACGCCCGTCGGGGACAACGGGGGCGGCCGCCACCGCCGCCCAGCGGACACGGGCGGCCCTACACCTCCTTCGGGCCCTCCGCCCCCGCTCCTCGCCAGCCTCCGGGCTCAGCGCCGGTGCCCAGAGCCCGGCGGCAAACCGTACGGCTGGCGGCCCCGGCGCCCGTGGGGCGGGCGAGGCGGGCCCGTTGGGATGGAGCGGGAGATGTTTGGTACCAACGGGCTGCTCGTGGGCCGGCTTTGCTGATGTTGAAACGCCTTCTCCGAAGTACGGCACTGAGGCCGGCACCTGCTCCCGCCGCGGTAGCCAGAGAGGACCGGTGATCTTCGGGTAGGGCACCGGTGAACGGTGAATCCCAGGGAAGCACCCGGGATTTTTTTTACCAGCGAGGAGACAAACTCCTTCCCCCACTCCTCGTGAGGGAAGGCAGGCCCGAAGCCGTCGGAAGGGGAGCAGAGGGCCGCGACATCTCCACATCGGCATCTCTCGTGTCGGGGCGGAGCCTCTCATCCCGCACCGCTGTCCCGGGGCTGCGGCGTCTCACCTCGGATCCAAACGTCCGTAACGAGTTACCGGCTGAACGAGGTCTCTCGTGCTTCCCGTGCGCTCACCGCACCTTTTTGTACCTCTGAGCAGGACTGTTTACCCAGGGAACAAAACGCGGTGGGAAGCTTGGTGGAGGTGCACCCGCGTTGTCGCCACACCCGCACAGCAGCATTCTGCAGGGCCGGACTGGGCACTCCCGGTTACCGGGCATTCAGGACAATGAGTGGGTTTGGAAGGGACCTTCGTGTCCTCCATCCCCGCTTCTTGCCCCAGGCTCACAGTGGGCACCCATCACCGGGACAGCCATCGTATGCGGAGCGGGGATGCCAGCGGCCCCCCACACTAGGCAGTATTTAGTGCCGTCTCTAAACAACAGCCCCCCCAAAATCCCTCTTGTAATCATCCTGCCCTAATCCTTTCCTGCGCCCCCAGTGCTGTGCCCCGGTCCCCCGTGGCCCCGAGGTCTGTGGCCGCAGATGATGTTTTATGATGTTTTAGGGGCTGGTCAGGTCTAGGGGCTACTGCAGGCCGGGAGGAGGGATGTCGGGCTGCGCTTCATAGGACCCTGGAAATTGTAATTACTACTAAAATAAAACTCGGAGAACTCTAAATCATTCATTATCACCTTTATAATTACTCTTCTAATTAGCTTGACACGCCGCTTCATCAGCATTAATACGTCGTCTTGTCGTTGGCACTTCCCATTACTCTGACATTTAGCCGGGCAACCGTCCCGGGAACACCGGATGATATTCTCCGGGGGATCCGATCCGGCGACCGGGGAATCGAGGCCCGACGGGGCGGCGGCGGCGGGGACGGGGACGGGGACGGGCCCGGGCGGGAGCGAGGGCGCGCCCCCCCTCCCGCGTCCGTCCCCGCCGCCGCCGCCGATTGGCTGCGGCCCGCGCTGCGTCAGCCCCGCTCGGCCCTCCGCCAATGGGGGCGGGCAGCGGCGGCGGCAAAAGCCCGGGTTTATAATAACCGGCGGGGGGACGCGGCGGCCGTGACGTCACGGGGGGAGTCGCCGCCGCCGAGAGGAGCTCGGTGGGCACGGGCGGGCGCGCCGCAGTGGCCGGTGTCCGCCCCGCTCCGCGCCCGCAACTTCCCGCAACAAAGTTGGTTAGCGGCGAACCGGCCCGGCGGCGATGTGGGGCTCGGCGGGGGCCCCGAGTTAGTGTCGGCCGCGCCGCCGGTGCGCGGGTTGGGGTAACCCGGTTCCGCCCCCCATCCCTTCTCCTCCACCCCCGGTAAGAGACCCCCGCGGCCGCCCACGGGGATGCGGACGCGGCGCTGAGCGTTTCGCCATGGAGGGGCCGAGCGGGTCCAGCTTCGGGATAGATACGATCCTGTCGGGTGGCAGCACCGGCAGCCCCGGAGTCATGAACGGAGATTTTCGCCCCCACGGCGACGGCCGGCCGGCGGATTTTAGGAGCCAGGCCACGCCGTCCCCCTGCTCGGAAATCGACACGGTGGGGACGGCGCCCTCATCGCCCATCTCGGTGAGCATGGAGCACCCCGAGCCGCACCTGGGGGTGGCGGAAAGCCTCCCGCCGCCGCCGCACCACCTCCACCTCGGCCCACACCCGCCGCCGCCGAGTTTGCAGCCGTCGCCCCCGCAGCCACCGCCGCCACAGCTGGGCTCGGCCAGCTCCGGCCCCAGGACTTCCACCTCTTCTTTTTTAATTAAGGACATTTTGGGCGACAGCAAACCGCTAGCGGCGTGTGCACCTTACAGTACCAGCGTCCCCTCTCCCCACCATACTCCCAAGCAGGAGGGCAGCGCGGCTCCGGAGAGCTTCAGGCCCAAACTCGAGCAGGAGGACGCTAAAGCCAAGCTCGACAAGCGCGACGACACGCAGGGGGACATCAAATGCCACGGTGAGTACGGCGCGGCCCGGCTCCGCACCGGCTCGCCCGCCGGTGCAACCGGCGCCGCGGTGCTCGGCCGCATCGGTGAAACGAAAATTGGGGAGAAAATCTGCGGCGGGAGCGCTCGCTCTGCCGAGGCCACTCAGTGATTCACGATACCGGAATAAGGTCGGTAGGAAATGAAATTAAATCAAATCGGATTTTTTTTTTTTTGCCTTTTTTTTTTTAAATATCTGTTGGCCTTTCCTCTTTTTATTTTTTTTTTTAAATTTAGCTTCCCCGTTTTAAAGGAAATAGCCCGAGTAGTGGGATCGCATGGGAAATCAGACTGTATTTATTTTTAATGCAAATGCACATAAATGATTCTCTGGCTTTCTAAGAACCGGCGGTTCAGCTGCAGTTAGTGCAATCAGCCTTTTTATTTATGCTCATTCGCTCTAAAATTAAGGTGAAAAATTCTACTTCCCTAGTTAATAGCAAATAAGCAAAACAAAAACAAAACAAAACAAAAAAAACCCAAAAAAACACCCACCAAAACAAATCACCCAACTTTTAATTAAAAATAAAATAATAATAATAATAAAAACAACAACAACTCGTTCCGCGCTTGGCGTAGTGAGATGTGAGGGCTTTGTGTGTTTGGCAAAACCCTCGAGTTTTCCAGGCGCCGGGATAGAAGGTTTATTTCTCCATCTTCAATTTTTTTTTTTTTTTTCAATTAGGGATTTCGTGATGATGGGGAAGCCCCCGCCGTGCGGGGTTCGGAAGTGAAAATAGCTATGTGTGCGTGGGAAGGGGAAATGAGGAAAAGAGTGAGGAAAGGCAAGCAGGGAGAGGGTATATTTTCCCTGCGGTGTCTGTGGAACTGTCCTTCCCGCCGGCAGCCCGGTGTAGCCGAAAGGCAACAGGACAAAATTTCCTAATTTTGCTCAATTGAGCTATTTTCACCAGGCTCAGAGCGGCGCGGTGCCCGCGAGTGCAGCTCATTTTGCTCTTTTAGCATTAGCATACGAGTGCCCAAACCAGATGTACAGTCTGGTCTGGCCATTTTTGTGTGCACCAACCTCCCCAGTGGGTCAATTAGGGAGATTATTGTTCTTCCTGCGGGGAAGATCAAGGAGCGCCACAAACTGGGGCCCGAGTGGAGCCGGATTGACAGATCGATTTCCCGGCGTTTCGGGCCGGGGGGAGAGGGCAGAAAATAACGAAAGCCCTGTAGTTGGGAAACGGAGAGCGGGAATCCCGCTGTTCCCCGGACGGGCTCGCCGCCACCATCCCCCGCCATAATTGACCGTTCCCCCCGTGTCCCGGAGAGGTCCCCGGGGAGGGGGCGGCGGGGCCCGGTAACCGGGGCGGGGCGGGGGCCGAGCCGGTGTCCCGCCGGTCCTCACCGCTCTTGGGCTCACTCACAGGGACAAAGGAGGAGGGCGATCGGGAGATCAGCAGCAGCCGGGACAGCCCGCCAGTGCGGGCCAAGAAGCCTCGGAAGGCACGAACAGCCTTCTCCGACCATCAACTCAACCAGCTGGAGCGCAGCTTCGAGCGGCAGAAGTACCTGAGCGTGCAGGACCGCATGGACTTGGCCGCCGCCCTCAACCTCACCGACACGCAGGTCAAAACCTGGTACCAGAACCGGAGGTAAGGCGGGCCCCGTCAGGGCGGCGGCCCAGGGTCTCCCCGGAGAGCCAGGGGAGGGCTCACGCCTCTGGGCTTCTGCCCGCGGGAGCCCGGGGTGGTGCGGGGAGCTCCCGGCTGCTGCCCCGCGCCCTCTCCGGCGACGGGCTGGGGGGTCCGGCTCCTGTCAACGCTGCCGTAATTTTCTGTCTCATTACATACGGTTGCAGCCACCCTAATTCTGTCGCAAACCATTAGTGTCAGCGCGTTGCGATCTAACCGTGTACCGCGGTTATTAATTTGGCCGGAGTCGCCGTATGCATGTATCGGGGGGTGCGGGGCTCGGAGGGGAAACCGGACAGAGGCGGAAAGATCGCGCCGTGTGCGGGCCCACGGGGCCAGTGCGCTCCGTCGGGGCCGCGCGGGGGACGGGCTCGCCGCCCGCGGAGCCCCGCGAAAGCGGCCTGGCTGCCCCAGCGCGGCGCCGCCCTGCAGCCTCTTGCTCCCCCCGGCAGGACGAAGTGGAAGCGACAGACGGCGGTGGGCCTGGAGCTGCTGGCCGAGGCCGGGAACTACTCAGCGCTGCAGCGGATGTTCCCCTCGCCCTATTTCTATCACCCCAGCCTGCTGGGCAGCATGGACAGCACGACGGCAGCTGCGGCGGCCGCAGCCATGTACAGCAGCATGTACCGGACTCCCCCCGCGCCGCACCCCCAGCTCCAGCGGCCGCTGGTGCCGCGGGTGCTGATCCACGGGCTGGGGCCTGGCGGGCAGCCGGCCCTCAACCCCCTGGCCAACCCCATGCCCGGCACCCCGCACCCTCGGTGAAACGGCACCGCGGTCCCCGCAACGAGCCCTTCCCCTCCCCGTCCCCAAACAAGCCCCAGCACCGCAGAGGAGGAAGCGAGGGGAAGCCGAGGGGCAGGAGCTTCTGCAGGCAGTCACCGGCCACCGAGGGAGGCGATCAGTCAGAGCAGGGACTCTTGAAACGTGAACCCAGAGCCAAGCCCGTAAGTGAAACGACCACACGCGGGGGAAGGCGGGCAGAGCCGCGGGGCGACCCGCCGACCTCGGCTCCTGCGAGGCAGGACTTGGAGCTCGGAGAGTTACGGAGGGGGTGGAGGATGAGGAGAGGGAGAGGGAGCCCGAGCCCGGCGGAGAGACTAACGGCTGCGGAGGACAGAGGGAATGAGAGCGCCTCGACCCCCGACCGGCGGAGAAGACCGGGGGAACGGAGAACTTTGCACTGATTTTTCTCATGACCTTTTTTTTTTTTTTCTTATTGAAAAGTGGCATGCTCCCTAATGCGAACAGAATTGTACAGACCGAGTGCTGAGTGCTATATCATATTTATTATATGTCGTCCAAAAAAGGAGAAAAAAAAAATCACTTCTATACGTTAGTTTAAAACGAACAAATGTGGTTCTTCCCTATCCCTTTTCATGTCTTTTTGGATTCAGTAAAATAAATGCTTAGATGACAAAATATAGATTTTTTTTTTTGTGATTAAAAAAATCACAGGGAAAAAAAAAAGGAAAAAAATTAAATTTTCTTTTTTTTTTTTTTAAACAAACATGAAAATTCAAGGTAGCTAATTTCGCCGTGACAAGAACTCAAGGAATCCGGAGTAGAAAAGGCAGATGCCACTTTTTTTTTTTTTTAATATATTGAACATATTTTGAATTTTAGGCTCATTGTTTCTTAACAGGCGCTGTTTTTCCCTATCTGTACTTTAAAGGAAAATCAAATCCCCCGCAATGTCGAGCGCCTTGCTCTTATTTTAAGCACCTGGGCAGGGCGGTAATGGGTAACGGCTGTAGCCCCTTGGGGTGGGTGCGACGGGGCCGTGCAGAACTTGGGGACATGGCCCCGGCCCGGCAGCTGTCTCCGCAGGGAGCTGGGACAGGCAGTGAGCGCCGGCGGTCGGGGTGAGTAACGAGGGGAAGCAGGCAGGGAGGGCGGAGGCGTCCCGGCGGACACGGAGCTCCCGAGCCCCGCTGGCCTTTGAACTTTACTACTGTGTGTGCCCGTTCCGCCCCCGCCATCCCTTCCCCTGGCAGCTCCCTGCCGAGCGCCTCCCTTCCCCAAGCCGGCGTGGGCCGCCCGGCCGTCCCGCGGGGGCAGAAGGGGTGTGGGTCGGGACTGGGGGCTGTGACCCTCCTCTGGACTCCGGGGACGGCTCTGTCCCCAGCCGTTGGAGGTGAACACCCCTCTGCGAAATTAGAAAGTTATACAGCAATTACCTATAAAACATTCATAAAGTCCCATATTATCCTCTCCTCTGAGGGTTTGGCGCTATGTTGTTTTTTTTTTTTTCTCTCTCTCTATTTTTGCTCGTGGGTCCCCTATCTTTTAAGATAGGAGGGGGGGAAAAAAACGAAAAAAGGAAAAGAGAAGCCTCAGGGCACGTTTATTTGGGCTTTGCTAATTAGCGAGCGGCTTGCTGATTTCTGTGCTAATAAATTCGCGTTAAAACCATATTGACCTTTGCCTTGATCTAACAAAAGGGGAGCGGGTCGGGAACGCCCACTTCGGTTTTTGCCCGTGTTGCGGCGGCTGCTGAGTATTCCCCCGCGCCTTCGCCGTGCCCCCAGGTACCCCCCACTGGAACGAGCCGGAAGCCGGTCCCTGAGGGGCCAGAGCAATCCGGCCGCCCCGCATCGCCGCCGAGGTTTTGTCGGGAAACCCATCCTATGCGGGCTGGGGAAGGAGGTAGGAAATTTGGACTCGTTAGGTCTTTTTCCTTAGTCGAAGCAACACATCTTTCCTAAAGGAGGAAATCCAGCTGGAACAGCTAGTACTCAGCTCGTTGTTCTCGATGGCTCGGTTTTGACAGCATAAACTCGCTGAAAAGTAGTAAGAACAAGGAAGGAAAGTTCATGCAAAATAGATGAGTGGCCCCCTCAAGAGCAGGGCCTGCCGCGGGGTGCCCACCGGGACAGGGAGCTTTTGGTGCTTTGGGAACAGCAGCAGGCTGGGGACGGGGGGGGGCTGCCGGTGTCGTGTAGGACGGTGTGTAAACCAGGGGTGCCGGAGGATGGGGGCGAGGAACGGCTACCTCCCCTGAAACGTATTTACAGACCCAACTGAAAAGTGCGTATAAACGGGAGGAGATCTGGGGCAAGAATCGCTCTCTTTCACTCTTCTTTTCCCTGTGTGGGAAGTTAGCTGCAAATGTAAGTTCTTCGTTTGTCCCGCTCCCCGTCCGCTCCGGGACAGAGCCGAGCCAAGGTCAGGCTGCCCCGAAATTGCTCGGCCGGGTCGCTTGGCTGCAACCTTGTAGGAACAGGCTTCGTTGCCTATTTAAAAGCCCCGGCAGGCGGGCCCGCATTAAAGCGCGCTGCGGCAGGACAAAGAGCCGGGCGCCCGGCCGGGATGCGTGGGGCTGCCTCCTGCCGCCCGCTTCAGCACGGTGAACGGCACGGTGCGGGGCCAGGCACCGCTCACGGCTCGGCGCCGTTGGCTACCTTCCCGGCCGCCTCGATCGGGTTTCTTCCCTTTCCGTTCCCGAACAGCTGTTTTTCCGCGACCGCCCCAGACTTGGTGCGGAGCTGCTGAATAGTCACGGTCTCGGTCCCTCTCCAGCCTTTGCCCTTGCCTGGGCCAGGACCTACTCTCGGCCCTGGAAGTGGTTGTGAACAAACAACCAAGCTCATCTGTTTGCCAGACGAACGGGACAGGCTCTCATAGCCTCAAACAGCGGGAAATACCGGCACCCGCTGGAAAAGACCTAGCTGTTCGTGCGCTGAGCATGGAAACGGTCCGTGAGGCTGTAGAGGGGCTGTCTGTAGGCGAGGGACCGCGGCAGCCCGCGGGGTGGCCGGGAGTGAGTGCTCTCCCCGTGCCGGACAGTGGCCCGCAAGGAGCGGGGCGGCTCCGGCCCCGCCCGGCCTCAGCACCGCGGACAGCTCCGGGAGGCGCGGGCTGCCCGGCCCGCCCCGCGGGAGCGCCCGGCCGTGGGATGGCGGGCGAGCGGCGCGGGAGTGCCTTCCTCCAGGAGCTCGCAGCCCCCGTCCCCGGCGGCTGCCGGCGGGCGATGGTGAAGACGAAGGAGGCTGGCACAGCCTCTTGCTGCCGAAGCGCTGCCTGGCTCCCCTCCCCGCCACCCAGCACCTGGAGAGTGTCCCTGTCCTAGCCCGGACCTGGCCCTTCGGCCCCGAGCGGGGGTTGCCTCCCGAAGGCTTTGTGCCGGGTGTTTAAGCTTTGCCCACGCACCAGCAGACGGGCTTAAAAACGGGGCAGGGCCGCTCCCCTTCTCCCGTGTCGCGTCGCTCAGGATTGACACCAGCGTGTCTGCCCTGGGACCCCGGAGACACCTGACCCTTTGGACACCCTGCGCTCGGTTCCCCTTTAGTTTGTTTCTTCTGGGCCGTGCTATGTGTTTCACAAGTGGGCACGGCACAGGAGGCTCCTTCGAGGAACCCCTGCTACGCTCAGACAGGTTTCGATGGCTCGTTGAGCTCCGGCAGCAGAGCCGCGGGCAGGCTGCACCGCTGCCCTTGGCTGATGGGCTCTCTTGAGGGATGCAGCAGCAGGATCATGTTTAATTACTTCACCCTCTCGGGGGATTAACTTGGCCATCGTTCGAGCAAAAAGCGAGAAGGGCGACTCCGCTGGGTTGGAGTACGGGACGAGCATTGCCTATTGCCTGTACCGCTCCAAGGGTGCTAGCCCTGGCGCCGCTGTGGCAGCTGGGTGCTCCGGAGCTTAATCTTCTTTTGCAGCCTGGCAAGCGAGTCCGGCTCAGCCGCTGGGAGCCATTCAACAGCACCGAGCGGAATTCCCTGCCGTGCCGGTTGCCCCGGTTGCGTTTAACACACCGCCCGCATGTAACGCTGAATTGGCACTCCGGGGCTTGGCTATCACTCCTGCAGGTTTTAGTGTTTCTTGTGAGGGTGAGTTTTTAACTTTTCTTATGTTCTACCTTTCCAGAGTTTACCTTCTTCCAAATTCACACCATGTTTCTGTGCAAATGCATTTACTGATGATGTAAGTCACTCGAAGTCCTTATTGCAGCCCACTCGAAAACCTCGGAAACCCAGGACATAGAGAGCGAGTGCAGCTAGGCTGAACTCACCTGTGGAAAGAGCAAAAGGCTTCATAATGTAAGAAATATTCCCAGGCCAGCGGTGGTGAGCATGGGCGGTGAATCACCGTTTCAGGTTGAAATTTACACGCTTTCCCCCTCCTCTATTCGGTCTTCCTGCTAAGCCCACGTTTCCCGCCGGTGATAGCGCTGGGTTCCTTTTCCAGCAGCCAGTTTATAGGGGAGCTCCATTTGCAAGAAAACGGGGGTACAGGGAATCTGGCCTACTGAGGGGGCTCTGTGCTCTCGTCCCGTGGGAGAAACTGCCAGCTCTGTTTTCGGCGATAGCATCGAAATGACCCCCGCGATCCCTGGAGGGGCACAGCTGATGGGGGACCCACCGGGACCGGTGGAGGGCGGGTGTGCGACCCCCGAAGGCGCAAGTTCCCCCGTGCCCCCGTTACATGAAAAAGCCCCGAACTTATTTCCTCCTTTGGGCTGCTCCAGCCGTTCAAGGGCCGTGGGGCAGCCGGAGCCCGTGTCTGTCTCTGCGTGTTTCCAGCCGGAGAACGGGTCCAACCAAGCGCCCATCGCATTAAAAATGCCTTTCCATATTCATATGCCCTATTTTTCACAAGTCGCTTCTATTAATGGAAGCTCACAAACGCCGGTCCTTAAAATTTGCGGATTTCAAAGGAACCTAAGCGAGGCAGTTTGCGCTGGCAGCGATGGATGCGGGCACGACGGGACCCCCGAGGCTCCCCCGGGGCTCCCCCGCCACCGCCGCGCCCTCCCCGCGGGCACCGCGCTCGGCCGGGGCACCGCCGCAGGTCGCTCCGGCCGCCCCCGCCGCTGCACCGGGCCCTGGCCCTCGGGATCAGCGCTCCCCTCCCTTCCAGCACGGACACACCAAAGTTGTCCCGACTGTCTTGTTCCCTCATCTCTGAGAGCCCATGTAGGGCGCTTTAATTGCCACATTTTCAAACCGAGGTAATGGTGGGAATGTCTTAGTAATTACCTTAATGAGATAACACCTTTCCTTCCCTGAACCTACTCATTATCACACTTCTTGTTCAAATACCAAATACAAAGAGCTATACTTGAAAAAAAAAAAAAAAAAAAAAAAGAAAAGAGGGGGAGAGACCTCTGAAATTTGTTGGTCGTCTTGTTCCCTTAAAACAAGCACCTTTCATGGATCTTTAGCATATGAACAGAGAACTGTACCTAGTTCTGGGAAAGGTTGGCTAGAAGTAAACTAAACATCTGGGGTACCCCTTAATTATTCTTGGTTGGTGTCTTTAGTTTGACCTGTAGGGATGCAAGGGTGTCAAAGTGATGAATTTTAAGATGTTGGGCTGTGAAGACGTGCAGCTGCAAGACTGATGGGTTTAGGAAGGGAATGGTAACAAGGTTAGCTGCATGTGAAGTGTGAATTGAGATTTTTGCAAAGAGACTGTGATTGC